GATGTGTGTATGGATTGGGATAACAGTTGTATGAGCCCCTAATAAAATGTTAAAAAAAAAAAAAAGAGTTGTACGATCATAACCACAGTCATTTTCAGAACTTTTTTTTTCTTGTACTCCTTGTTATTAGTTCCACAGGTCCCCCAAACTTCCTCTGCCATTCTCCTAAGGACCCATTCATTAATCCAGTTACTGCCTCTATAGATGTACCTACCCTGGATTTCATATTCAGAAACATTTTTAAAACAAAAACTATTACAGTAACAAAAGTAAAAACAAAGTCCTCAATAGTAAAGAAATTATAAAATATTAAAAGCTGTAACAAATTTAAAATGAATTAAAAGAGATATTGAATGATGCGGCGTTAAATTTTAACCTAACGGCACCTGTAGTAATCTACTTCCAATTGCATTCTGTTTTATAGCAAGGCTATTCACGTCCCCGGTCTGTGGCCAGAGGCAATTCATGCCCTCCTTTTAAAGAGGAAAAATGACAACTCCTTAAGATGTTTGTGCCTCATCAGATGCTCAGTGTCTGTTTGCTGTATGACTCAACTACCACTACCATGAGTTTGATTTCTTTTTTTTAGTGTAAAGAAGTGCCTTTTAAAGCATGTGGGTTTTCATTGAATCTTTGTCTTAAGCTGTCAGCAGTGGTCCTTCCATTACTAAATAAGTAGGTGTGTGTTTCTCACTCCATCACTGAGAAAAGTGTCTCCACATGAGAAATCTTCCTGATGTAACAGTTTATGTTGTAGATTCTCTTGTTGCTGGCTCCTAGTTTACATCCTTCCATGTCTTAATTTTTTTAACACATTAGTTTTAATGCTTATGAAGTTAATTTTTAAAGTTTGGCAGGGTTAAAACAACCATGAAGAGAAGGTTGTGTTAGTAAAACATTACATTTTTAAGATGTGATTTTGCTTTTGTTTGGCAGAAATGGTGGAATCAATGAAGAAAGTAGCAGGGATGGATGTTGAGTTGACAGTCGAAGAAAGAAACCTCCTATCAGTTGCATATAAAAATGTGATTGGAGCTAGAAGAGCCTCCTGGAGAATAATCAGCAGCATTGAACAGAAAGAAGAAAACAAGGGAGGAGAAGACAAACTAAAAATGATTCGGGAATATCGGCAAATGGTAAGAGTCTTGTATTCTAGACTCCTTATAAAAAATTGTTTCTTAAACCTAGGCAGTAACTTGTGAGGTTCATTTTTTGGTGAGGTGGGGTGGGTATGTGGTTTGTTGACTGTTATGTAGTTTCTTTGTATGGATTTTATGCAACAGAAAGAAAAGGTTTATTTGGGGGGGGGTGTTGTTTCCTTATTCTATCTGACTTACAGTTACCCAGAGTCTCCAAGGGAAAGGAGGCTGACTTGGTTTGAGAGCTATGTATTAAAGTACTCGTGTCTAGCTTGGTTCTCAAACCTATAGCTGTTAGTATTCATTCTTAGTAGATGTTGAACAGTTTATGTTGCAACCTAGTACACACAATTTTACGTGTACTTCAGTAATAAGAGCATATTGTATAGGTTTAGTCTTTAGCTTACTGGAATTTATAGGCTGTCTAACACTTAAGAACAAAGGTGAAGATGATTTTCCCATTGGAAACTGTCCAGTGCTTCATAGTCAATTTTGATCATTGCACAGATAGAAAACCAATTGAGGTTTTGTTTTTATTATGGTAGCTATAAAATACTTCATTTAGTGACTTGAACATTTAGGTGAATTTAACAAGTATTTGTATCCTCTTTATTTGCAACACAGCTTGGTGTAGGTACTGTGAGTGCTGTATGTCTATTTATAAATAAATGATTTTCCTACTGTGGGTCTTGGTTCCAAAACTTGGTTCCCAACCAGCAGTGATTTCCCCCCTGACATTTGGCAATGTCTAGGGATGTTTTTGGACACCTAGCACTGTTGAGTTGAATAAGCACTGGACTGCTAAAAACAATGTTGGTGACTTAAACCTACCCATTGCTGCCTCAGAACTAATAGCTTCAGAAACCCTATATAGATTGAGTCACTGTGAGTTGGAATTGTCTGTCTGGCAGTGAGTGTTTTAGAGATGTCTTTGATTGTTCCTTTGCTGTACAACTGTTAACTAAACCATTTGATTACTTATGGACGCCTAGTGGAATTTAGAACTTTATAAAACCTCTGTCTTCCAAAGCTATGAACTTTAAAAGCCACAGTGGACACCCTTTATTTGGGAATGTACCAGATTCACTAATAATAAGGTTTGAGGAGAGTGGGGGAATTATTTACGATGGAAAGAAGGTACCAGAAAGCATGAAGAGAACATGTTGGAAAGGCTCACTGGTGAATTAATAGAAAATGGAAAGTAACATATATTTGTCTTGGAAGTGTGGGCATTTTCAGCATTAAAAAGGATGACTTAGAAATGTGGTAGTATGTTTTTGGTTCCCTTCCTGGCTGTGGATTTTTACCACCAAAGTGATTGACGATCAGCATTAAGCCTGGAGTCCCTGGCTGGTTAACACTAATAAAAAGGATGGATGTTCTAGTCTACTGAGAGGTGCCTTGGAGGAAAGGTCTGGAGGATCTACTTGTGAAAAACCAGTCACTGAACTCCTATAGAGTCACCATGAATCAAGGTCGAAACATTGGCAGCTGTGTTGTTTATGATTTATCAAGCATAGAAGGCAGTTGAGAACTGCAGGAATGCAAACTAATTTCCCGTGTTCAGATCCTGCTTAAAAAGCAACTGCTTCACCAAAGGAGTCATGTATACACCAAGCATTTGGTACAATTTAGTCAGTCTTGGTCATTGATAACTTTATACTCGAGTGGAGGTGTTCTTTGCTTTGCGTCTTAAATGTATCAACCAACAGCATGTGGAAAGGAAAAGTTATTTTCCATAACCTGAAGATAACCTTTCTCTACTTGAATCAAGAGAGAGGGAGGGGAAGGAATTGGAGAGGACTGTTAGGTATTTTGTTAGTGCTAGGCCAGTGGTTCGCAACCTGCCTACTGCTGCGACCCTTTAATATGGTTCCTTATGTTGTGACCCCCAACCATAAAATTATTTTCGTCGCTACTTCATAACTGTAATTTTGCTACTGTTATGAATCAAGCGACCCCTGTGAGAGGGTCATTCGACCTCCAGTTTGAGGACCACTGTACGAGGCTCTCCAAAATCATAGTGGGGAGGAAGAATGACATAATGTATTCCTTAAGCTAAACAGTTTGTTTGCTTTTCCAGGTTGAGACTGAACTAAAGTTAATCTGTTGTGACATTCTGGATGTACTGGACAAACACCTTATTCCAGCAGCTAACACTGGCGAGTCCAAGGTTTTCTATTATAAAATGTAGGTTCCATACTAGAAGGGAAAATGTAAGAATAAAACTTGATTTTAAATGATGGCTTTCTCGGTGTAGGTTTCTAGTTTTTCATGAAGATGTGTTTGACAAAATGGATATATATATGGATTGTGGTAAGAGCTGTAAGAGCCCCCAGTAAAATACAATAAAAACCAGACAGCTGGTTTACTTTAGAGTAATAGTTGAAACAGAAGAGTGACTTAAAAAGTGGTGGTTTTTACTGTATTTATTTATTTATTTGTTTTTGGGGTGGTTTTTTAAAAATACTCATTTGCAAGTATACTGCTAATCAAAACTTAGTGTAAGTATTGTGTTGAAGATCTCAGAGTCTTAATAAAATGTTAATACATTTTTGCCTATTTTGTTATCTCTTGTGGATCCCTCCCCACTCCCACTGCCATCCATTGCATAGTTTCGCCCTTAACATTTTATAAATATAAAAGTTTTTTTGTGATTTAACAGACTTCTGCAACATAATCTCAATGCTATTTATTTATTTTCCCAAGTAACTGGGATTTTGTTTTATATTTGGTAATATGGGGTCTAAGGGAAACCAAACAGACGAGTCATCCACTTCTGACTTAATAAAGATAGAGCACGTTTCATTTGCTATAATATAGAAGATTGTTTAATTTCCTTTAAAAATTTAATGGTTTTGTTCCTCTTCCCCTCCCCTAGGAAAGGCGACTACCACAGGTATCTGGCTGAGTTTGCCACAGGGAATGACAGGAAGGAGGCTGCAGAGAACAGTCTAGTGGCTTATAAAGCTGCAAGTGATATTGCAATGACAGAACTTCCACCAACACACCCCATTCGCTTAGGTCTTGCTCTCAACTTTTCTGTATTCTACTACGAAATTCTTAATTCCCCTGACCGTGCCTGCAGGTAAGTCATTGGGGTTGGGGGGAGGCGGGGGGAGGGAGCGGACCGAAACTGAAAATGGAAAGTTCATAAAGGAGGATAACGTTCGTGTTTTTTTTAAAGGCTACCAGAAGCCATCTGGATTCTATCCATTAATCCATACATGTCTTGTTTCATGTCATTGATTCCAGTCCCCACAGTGTGGCATCACTATTTCTACTTTCTCCCTGTAGTTTTTGTGTTTGTTGTTTCTATTTCTGCGTAACCTCCTTTCTTTCCTGGACTTAGCCCTTGGATGGTGCCCACCTTTTGATCTCAAATGGTTGGTTATTCCTAACTAGTGTTATTGTGTTGTTTACTTAGAGATCTGTTGAGCCATGGGAATGACTGTTTATGGACGTAAAGGTGACTAGGCCTTCAATTCTTTGTCCCCACCAGCAAGCCTGATCTCTGATGGTTTTGAGCTTTGGTCTGTATGGCTTTCTTTCTAGTGATCCTTTCAGATCAGTGGGTAGTGGTGGCCAGGCACCATCTAGTAACTGGGCTCCAGATACCATCAAGTAATTAAATCCTAGTTCTTGTCTTAAACCGTCAGAGACGCTAATGTTTGAGTCGTCCTTTGGTTTATTGGCTAATTGTTGCCATGGTTCTTTAGTTGTCATCTTCATTCCTCCAGACAGGGAGAGACCAACAGTTATTTATTGGGTAGCTTCTCACAAGCTTGTAAGACACCAATTGCTACTCACCTAAGTTGGATGTAGAACATTGTCTCTGTGGACTTTGTCAAGCCAGTTGGCCCTGGTGTCCTTTAAGACCATGGTACTGATCCCCGGGGCACAGCAACCTATTCTTTCAAGATGTTTGATTATGTGTGTGAATTTTTCATCTTTTACTCCTATATAGATACTATTTGCCTCTAATTCTTAGACTTTAATTCTTAGATTTCTTTCTGTCTTCCCTCGGCTCCCTCATTTTTGGTTAGCTTCTCCCTCATACTGTATATCCCCTTCCCTTTCATCCAAGTTCGTGTCTCTACCCTCTAAACCAAACCGAAGTCCATACCATCAAGTTGACCCTAGCTGATGAACAGTTTTCAGGCTTTCTGTTTATGGGAATCAGAGACCCTCATTTGCCTAAGGACTTGCCTGTGTGGCTTTGATTTTAGGGTTTACAGAGGACATTCTATTACATATGTTGAGAAACCAGCCAGGAAATGGGCTCTGGTGTTGAAGGATATGGCCGTGAGCTCTATTCAAAGAGTGGGCTTTGCTGCTGAATTTTTCTCAGGTGTGATGAAGGAAACCTTTAGGAACGTCCACGCAATCTCTCAACAGGTTAACATAGGCAGAGAAGTGACCAGTGAACATAAGTAATCATGGAAAATAGCTCCTGGCTAGCCAGATGGGGAGAAATCTGTGAATTCTATGAAATTTGTGAAATCACAACACTTCTGAAAGAGCATTGAGAAAATAATATGGTAGAAAGCATTCCTCCAACTAAAATACTGTGTTCCCAATGAAATTCTTAGAAGACGGCCCTGAAGACTTGAGCAGGTTCATAGTCATGATGGGAAAACATTCAGGCCCCTTTTAACCAATTATCCCGTGTTCTTTGACCAAATAGATCAAGGTTATTATCCCTTTGGAGTCTCCCCAAAAATGGTTGCCATAACTTTCTGAGCTGAACTCTCTGCCTTGACTTTTTAAAAATCATTTTATTAGGGGCACATACAACTCTTTATCACAATCCATACATAACAACAATTGTGTAAAGCATATTTGTACATTCATTGCTCTCATCATTCTCAAAACATTTGCCCTCCACTTAAGCCCCTGGCATCAGCTCCTCATTTTCCCCCCTCACTCCCCGCTCCTCCATCCCTCATGAACCCTTGATAATTTATCAATTATTATTTTGTCATATCTTACACCGTCTGATGTCTCCATTTATTCACTTTTCTGTTGTCTGTCCACCAGGGAGGAGGTTATATGTAGATCCTTGTAATCCATTTCACCTTTCTCCCCCACCTTCCCTCTACCCTCCCCATATTGCCTCTCTCACCACTGGTCCTGAAGGGATCATCTGTCCTGGATTCCCTGTGTTTCCAGTTCCTATCTGTAACTGTGTACATCCTCTGGTCTAGCCAGATTTATAAGGTAGAAAAGGGCTCATGATGGGAGCGGGGAGGGAGGGGGAAAAATGAGGAGCTGATGCTAGGGGCTTAAGTGGAGAGGAAATGTTTTGAGAATGATGAGGTTAATGAATGTACAAATGTGCTTTACACAATTGATGTATGTATGGATTGTGATAAGAGTTGTATGTGCCCCTAATAAAATGATTAAAAA